AAAAATATCTAAGGAAGGAGATTCCACCACCTCCTTAGGTAACACATTCCAGTGTTTCACCACCCTCCTAGTGAAAAAGTTTTTCCTAATATACAACCTAAACCTCCCCCACTGCAACTTGAGACCATTACTCCTTGTTCTGTCATCAGCTACCACTGAGAACTGTCTAGATCCATCCTCTTTGGAACCCCCTTTCAGGCAGTTGAAAGCAGCTATCAAATCCCCCCTCATTCTTCTCTGCCGCAGACTAAACAATCCCAGTTCCCTCAGTCTCTCCTCATAAGTCATGTGTTCTAGTCCCCTAATCATTTTTGTTGCCCTCCGCTGGACTCTTTCCAATTTTTCCACATCCTTCTTGTAGTGTGGGGCCCAAAACTGGACACAGTATTCCAGATGAGGCCTCACCAATGTTGAATAGAGAGGAACGATCACGTTCCTCGATTTGCTGGCAATGCCCCTACATATACATCCCAAAATGCCATTGGCCTTCTTGGCAACAAGGGCACACTGTTGACTCATATCCAGCTTCTCATCCACTGTAACCCCTAGGTCCTTTTCTGCAGAACTGCTGCCTAGCCATCCGGTCCCTTATCTGTAGCAGTGCATGGGATTCTTCCGTCCTAAGTGCAGGACTCTGCACTTGTCCTTGTTGAACCTCATCAGATTTCTTTTGGCCCAATCCTCTAATTTGTCTGGGTCCCTCTGTATCCTATCCCTACCCTCCAGAGTATCTACCTCTCCTCCCAGTTTAATGTCATCTGCAAACTTGCTGAGGGTGCAATCCACACCATCCTCCAGATCGTTTCACTTTCACCAGAAAAATGTTAGGTAAGCTGGACAACAGATGGAAATGTATCTTCTCCCCATTTATTTTTATTGAGCTATTGAAATAATTACAAGGACATAGTCTCTCAAAAGACAAAATCCAAAACTGAATAATAAATCACATAAAAGAGAAGAAATAAATAAAATCTATATAAAATACTTCTAAAAATGTCCATAAAAATTAACACCATAGAGTGTGGGGAAAATATTGAGCATCTAGTAGCTATCATTTTTCAAATAATGTAATTTAGAAATGTTGGCATACAAAAGCAAAAACTCAGAAAGATATATAATAAAAAAATAAAACACTCAATGTATTATCGAACCCAGTTTTCACCTACAGGAAATGAATTCTGGTTTTTTTTAACAAGTTGTTATTAATTTATTTAAGCTGAGATAAGGGGAGAAGTATTTTGCCATTATCATAGCAAAAAGATATTTTTAATTTAGCAGAGTTTTGTGAAATTTTGTAATCTGGTGATTCTCCCATTCCTGAATTGGGCCATACTATATAATATAGTGTATATTCGATCATTCTTAAACCACAGGTTCAGCTAGGTTTGGGCACCTGCTTTTCTTCCCTTTAGCAGCCTGTGTCCAGTTTGTTACAGTGACCCAAAATAGCCTTCTTAAAATAAAGTATTGTTTAATGTTAATGGTAGGATCAAAACATAAGAGAAGACAACAAAAGTTCTACATGCGTGTCTGTCGTACCCACTCCTTCCTTGGCAGGCCTATCTTACCCCAGGTCCAAACTTCTTGTAGGACTGACTCTGTTTCTTCTTCTTAACTTTCTCTTCCTCTGGCCTTGAAAGCCTCTTTAAAACCAGCCAAAGGTCTTTGTTCTCACTTTCAAGGCCTGGACCCGCTGTCCAAAACCAGTTTTATGAGTTCCCCAGCAGGTCAAGCCAGAACATCAGTGCCAAAGGCCATTGTATTATCTCTTCAGTGTTTTGCAACTACCTTCCCCCAAAGTGTTGTTTGAGGGATGTGTTACCTCAAGTCATAGTCTTGCTTTCACGTTTGTTTCCCAGCAGATCTGTTGATTTAGTCCAAGATAGTCATACAGTAAATATCCCAATAACCAGGTCAAGATATAGTATTCATAAATTATTGCAGGCAGCTCCAAATCCATCTCAGAGAAGAGAGCACCGACGCTACAGCTAATAAGTTTCATTGTCAATTATTTACTTTAAAATATCAGGAAATATTGAAATTTAATTTTCTGAAACTGTCCCCCAGGCAGCCCTTCCACGCTGCATGGCCCGTGCTGCCCGGGGCTCCAGCGGCCATTTGAAGGGCCCGGGTCTCCAGCTGCTGCTGCAGTAGTGGCAGTGGTAGCTGGAGCCCCAGGCCCTTTTAAATCGCTGGCCACTTTTTACCAGTATGCTGTACTGGCTTACTTCCATCCGGTGTACATTCAGTACTAAGAGCCCATCCTTTCCTCAAAGAGCTTACCAACTAAATAAATCAGACAGACAAAGGGAGGAAAGGTGGAAGAAAGGGAGTGTTATGATCCCAGATGATAGCTGAGGCACAGAGAGAGATTAAGTGGCCTATCAAAATTACATAGGACATCTTGTGATGCAGCCAGAAGCTGAACGCAGATATTCTGGGTGAAATCCTGGCACTATTGAAGTAAATGGGAGTTTTACCATTGATTTCAGTGAGGTCAGAATTTCACTCTCTGAGCTCCCATCTTGTGCTTTAATCACAAGACCATCCCTCCTTTTTCAGTTTGCAATTTTGATAATATCAACGTTGACAAATTTCTCTTTGCCTTCCTCCCTCCTGTTTGGTGGAACAATAAGAGGAGGATAAAAAGATATCAAGACATTTTAGGAGATGAGGGGGAAAATAGCTCCTTTAAAACAAAAGTACTTCTCTGTAGTGCGCCTCACTGCAGGAAATTCAGAGAGAATAATAAGGGAAAAATAGATATTAAAAAGGAAAGTATTTTCCCACCTAAACAAAAGAAAATATCCATATAAGTGAGAACAGAGGAAAAATAATTCTGTCTCTGCCCGGCATCAGGTGCTGGGTTTAACATTGATGAAAAGAGCCCCAGCTGGTTCCATGCAGTAGACAGAAATATATTTGTAAAGACAACTTTCAGCTAATTTGGCTGTTGTGTGGTGTGAACTTTACCAATTGACTTGTAACTGGACTATCCTGTCAATGGGAAAATAAACCTTACAAGTATTGAACATGATATTTGTAAGAACATCACTGTCATCTAGGCCACTTGCATTGAATATGCAGAAAATTATAATTGGGCTAACAAGCCTGGTAGTTTGGCCTACTTCCAATTATACTGTACAGCCTCACTTATGCCTGTCCTTTATTTATTAGTGTACTGTAGATACTTATTCTTCAGGTCTCATGGCACACTCAGGATTTTCAAAACCATTAAATATTGTGGATAATTAAAATATAGTGAACCACAAACACTTTGTGGCCGAGTTGTATAGTTACAGTCTTGAATTAGGATGGGTCTGGCTCACTGTTAGATTGTTCTTTACCCCCCCCATCCCTACCACTTACTTGCCTGGCCAAAGGAGGGCTGCTGGAATGGCTCTGGCTGTGGGAAGAACGCAAGAGCTGCTTGAAACTCCCACTTGTGAACAATTGAAAGTAGAAGGTGCAGAAAGGAGTGGGGGGTTTGATGAGCCTTGATTCTTCTCTCTTGGTTCTTCCTTCCCCATACCTGCTGGAAAGAGTAGGTGGCTAGGTGCATAGTGGGAGTAAGATGCACCCCAAAAAGGGGTGAAATAACTCTCTCCCTTCCCCAACCAAGGGGGTATCAGAGTAGGAGTTGTGAGTTTCTGAGACACAATTCCTCCACAAAGTTCCTTATGGGGCAGTGCAGTGTCACAGTGCACCCTATGCCTTGGGCTGAGCTGAAAGGCACAGTCTTGCCCATAGTATCTTAGTGCAATCTAAATTTGACAAGAGTGGCTCAGGTTAAATTTCAGTCTCTGATTATTAATACTTCTATATTATGTATTGCACTAGTAGGCATATGGCCTGGGTAATGGAAGGTAGTTCTCATGATGATCTTTAGAAAATTTAGGGGAGGGAAGGCAAATGTGGAAATACACTTCATGTGTTTCTTCATGTTTCTGGCTAGATTGTACACTTACACACCATCCTGAGTATGGAGGATGTGTAGCTGTCCCACTCCAGAGGAGCATTGCTGTCATTGTGCCTCAGACACCCATCTGAGGCACAATTTCTCTAGAGCTCCTCTTTTTCACTCAATTTGAGTCCTTGACAAGACACAGCATGCTCCTGCTGCCTGGCATATCCAACCAGCTTGGGTGGCTGGTGCATGGGAAGGAAAGGAGCCATGGCTGTACCTATTCCTGTTTCTCCTCTCTCTTCCTCCTCACTCCCATTTTCTAATGCGAGGAAGTATTGGCTCTCAGCCCCATCTCTCCCATTCTGACAAGAGCCAAAATCCATGCACAATATATGCAGCCATCTAAGGGAGTGGGGACCCTTTACTCTCCTTCATGGCTGTGCACAATAGGCTTTGATTCTGCACTGGTCCACTTCAGTGGATGCAGGATTAGGCAGGATGACAGCACAGTCATAATATGTTTAGGTTAAAAGTGTTATATAACATAGATTAGCAACTATTGGATATATATTTTCAGAGCTGTCAGATTATTTGGTTATATGCCTGTAAAATCTTTAGACAAACTTCCGTCTACATATCCCTGCACAAATGTAAGATTTAGCCTATTTTCAGGGAATTAATGCCTGCCATGTGGTTTATGCAATCCAGCATGGCGCACTCACAGGGAAAACTGTCCTGTAAGACTAATACATTTTTAGAGTTTGGAAATATGTATAATGTTGAAACTGCTATTTATGATTAATGCTAAATGATTTTACAGTACTTCTTGCGATACTTTCCAAGGTCTTTGGGGGGTTTGGGGTTTGTTTGTTTTTTGGTCATATACTAACTAAATTAAAAACACAGGTCAACTCTCTTGACAGAACCATCAGTCAGAAGAAACCTCAAGTAAATTGGTCAAATAATGTTAGAAATAGTTTTTGTTAGCTCTGAATCAATATTGATAACGTTTCTCTGTATTCTTAGTAAGTAGACCCTCTGTCTAATCTATCTTTGTTCTCTTCTCCTTGTGCAATCTTTCCCTTGGTTCCAGCGGCTGCTACTAAGAACAAAGTTAAAGGTGAGTTTCCACTTCTGCTCTTTGATTTTCATTGCATGGTTCTGCAGTACACATTATCTCACTCGAAGTATCTTTTTTTTCTTAATTACAAATCTGGCAAAGGCATCTATCAGAGTTATGCTCTGATAGATTACCCATTTGGGCTTCTATAATTGCCTATAAATGCAAAGTGTTTACTACTGGTTATCAGCCATCACTCTGTTTTTATACTGTAGGTTGCTAGAGTTGCTACAGTATGACGGGAAACATTAAAAAAATAAGTTGGCTAAATGGATAAATATAAACCATATACCCTACAGTTTGCTCTCTTTCATATGTTTCATAGTAAGATAAAGCTATTTTCATTTTTTTAAATCAAGATCTATATAAAAGCTAAAACTTCTTATATATTCAAAAATGCCTAATAAGCAGGGGTGCTCAGAGCCAATTAACCAATTTGTGAACCCTGTTTATGATGGAAACCACTTCAAGCCAGGGAGTGCTGTTAGTCCCAGTACTCTTAGTCCCTATGCCAATAAGTAATGTTTAACTATTCTATATATATTTTTTTTGTCTCTAGACCCTGTCATAAAAGTCTTAACTATTTGTGAGTAGAGAACATTAATGCCTCCAAACCATTCCCCTCTTCTTTCTACACGAGTAGAAAAAGATCATAATTCTTTATTTATGACAGCATACCCATGCCCCAGAAACATACTATAATCTTATAGACAGAGAATTATAACTTCATCATAGAATCAGGAGGAGTGTGAAGAAAGGGAGTCAGTCTACAAAGAAATAAAACGTAATTATGAACATTTTATCTTCAAAAATTAGCCATGAAGAGAAGATTATAAATTGTTACCTCACTTTCATATATCTGAAGTACTGACTACTTTACTCCTAGACATAAAGGAATTTCTCTCATTCTGACCACTCTTAGATGCTGTTGGACCAATCAGAATTTTATTTCTTGTTCTGATATTGTAGTGTCATAACCCTTTAGGATGTGGTGCAGTACAGCAGTGGCTTTGCCTCTGTTTCCCTTTTGGTGTTCGACCAATCTACCCAGCCTGTAACACCTTCTCATTTGAAGTGTTTTTGTTTCTGATGAGGTCACATTAAAGTTCCACCCCTTGTGGGATGCCCCAAATCCTAAATGAACCCAAATAAATGTAAAATTTTCCAGCCCTACTGGCCGGGTTCTTCACAGACTCTTCACCCCTTCTGGGCTATGTAGTATACTAAAACAAATCCTTCCACCCTGCCTGGACTTGTGCAAGCCATGGGGACATCTGCACTGCAGCTGGGAGGTGTAATTTCCAGCTCAGGTAAATATACACTCACCAACTCAAAGCTATTGCGCTAAAAATAGGTGTGTGGCTGTGGTGGATTGAATATATATTTAGGACCTATGATGGAGTCGTACCTGGGCACCAATTAATCCGTAAAAAATACAAGATTCCTTAATACCATTCAATATTTTAAAGTTACTAAGTTATGTTTCAAGTTTCCCCTACAATTTCTTCTTCTCCCATTGTTTTCTCCTCCATTATTTTTAATAATTTAAAAAGAGATATGATATATGTTAGGCTGCTTTGTAGCAGGTCTGACAGTGTGGGCCCAATTGCAGAATCAAGGTGTAGAAGTCCCTATTTTATCTGTGTTATACACAGGGATTTTTTTCTGATTATGAATTTCCAAATGTAGTTAACATTTCATTAAGAATGTGCTTTTCACCCTGAAGATTCCCAAATCTCTGATTTTTTTCTATTTTTAACATAGTGATGATTTTAAAGTTTTATCCTTAACTTATAGTTCCTTATGTATTTTTTTTAACTCTGAAGGAACATTGTTGAGTAAAATTTGACTTATCATATTGCCACTATATAAATCCATGGTACGCCCCCATCTCGAATACTGCATGCAGATATGAGCATCCCATCTCAAAAAGATATATTGGACTTGGAAAAGATTCAGAAAAGGGGAACAGAAATTATTAGGGGTATGGAACAGCTGCCATATGAGGAGAGATTAATAAGACTGGGACATTCCATATTTGACAAATCTAAGTATTACATAAATATTATTAATTGAATGCTTTCAGATGTAAATACAAAAATAAATAAATAAAGCTAATTCAAGTAGAATCTGATTTAGTTGGCTGATTGCGCTTTGTTGCAGTATTACAATAGTGAAACCATTAGTTAAGCTGGAGATCAACTTGTTTCCACTCATGCATGACTTTCTTTTAAGAAAAAAATCTCCTTTTTGGCTGAAACTTTGCATGCATTTTGAAACTTGGGGGAATCAAGGTACATAGTATCTAACTGAAAATGTGCTTTTGTGTGTGCATAAGATGAAATTTCCTAGTGTCAGCAGTGACGCTATGGAGTAATGTTAAACTATTGCAGAACTTCATAATGAATAAGCAAGTGAACAAGAACACACACACAGACACAAACCACTGGTATCCATAAAGAAATACTCCAACACCCAACATTTGCCCAACATATGTATGCACTGCCCGTCAAATAAGAGATGGACTTCCACGCATGGACACATACTAGGAACTATAAAGAGAACCAAATGTATACACAGGCTCCACTCATCTAGGAACATTGACACACATTTTTCACCCACACAAATACACACACGCTAAATAGATACACTGCAACCATCTTATAGTAAAGTGATTTTAACATTGTAACAAGCGCAAATCTTTTATAAGGTTTGGCTGTTCATTCTCCTCAGTCTCTTCTTGCTCACCTCTCCAGTGGCTGCAGGGAAGTCACTGCTTTTTCTTTTCTTCACCGCCCACAATGTCGAAACAGAGGCACCAAATAGCTTCAGGAAGTTGAGCACCACACTGATCCTATGGCCCCATCTTTATTCACTGTGGCTGTAGAAAGAAATAACCTTCTGTGGTGTCAGGAGTGAAGCAGGTAGCCTCTCACTGCTTCTTCTTAATGCTCTATCTGAGCCCTGGTCTACACTAGGACTTTAGGTCGAATTTAGCAGCGTTAAATTGATTTAAACCTGCACCCGTCCACACAATGAAGCCCTTTATTTCGACTTAAAGGGCTCTTAAAATCGATTTCCTTACTCCACCCCTGACAAGTGGATTAGCGCTTAAATCGACGTTGCCGGCTCGAATTTGGGGTACTGTGGACACAATTCGATGGTATTGGCCTCCGGGAGCTATCCCAGAGTGCTCCATTCTGACCGCTCTGGACAGCACTCTCAACTCAGATGCACTGGCCAGGTAGACAGGAAAAGAACCGCGAACTTTTGAATCTCATTTCCTGTTTGGCCAGCGTGGCAAGCTGCAGGTGACCATGCAGAGCTCATCAGCACAGGTGACCATGATGGAGTCCCAGAATCGCAAAAGAGCTCCATCATGGACCGAACGGGAGGTACGGGATCTGATCGCTGTTTGGGGAGAGGAATCCGTGCTATCAGAACTCCGTTCCAGTTTTCGAAATGCCAAAACCTTTGTGAAAATCTCCCAGGGCATGAAGGACAGAGGCCATAACAGGGACCCGAAGCAGTGCTGCATGAAACTGAAGGAGCTGAGGCAAGCCTACCAGAAAACCAGAGAGGCGAACAGCCGCTCTGGGTCAGAGCCCCAAACATGCCGCTTCTATGATGAGCTGCATGCCATTTTAGGGGGTTCAGCCACCACTACCCCAGCCGTGTTGTTTGACTCCTTCAATGGAGATGGAGGCAATACAGAAGCAGGTTTTGGGGACGAAGAAGATGATGATGAGGAGGAGGTTGTAGATAGCTCACAGCAAGCAAGCGGAGAAACCGGTTTTCCCGACAGCCAGGAACTGTTTCTCACCCTAGACCTGGAGCCAGTACCCCCCGAACCCACCCAAGGCTGCCTCCTGGACCCAGCAGGTGGAGAAGGGACCTCTGGTGAGTGTACCTTTTAAAATACTATACATGGTTTAAAAGCAAGCATGTGAAAGGATTACTTTGCCCTGGCATTTGCGGTTCTCCTAGATGTAGTCCTAAAGCCTTTGCAAAAGGTTTCTGGGGAGGGCAGCCTTATTGCGTCCTTCATGGTAGGACACTTTACCACTCCAGGCCAGTAACACGTACTCGGGAATCACTGTAGAACAAAGCATTGCAGTGTATGTTTGCTGGCATTCAAACAACATCCGTTCTTTATCTCTCTGTGTTATCCTCAGGAGAGTGAGATATAATTCATGGTCACCTGGTTGAAATAGAGTGCTTTTCTTCAGGGGACACTCAGAGGAGCCCATTCCTGCTGGGCTGTTTGCCTGTGGCTAAACAGAAATGTTCCCCGCTGTTGGCCACAGGGAGGGGGGAAGGTTGAGGGGGTAGTCACGCGGTGGTAGGAGGCAAAATGCGACCTTGTAATGAAAGCACATGTGCTATGTATGTAATGTTAACAGCAAGGTTTACCCTGAAAGAGTGTAGCCACTGTTTTATAAAATGTGTCTTTTTAAATACCGCTGTCCCTTTTTTTTTCTCCACCAGCTGCATGTGTTTCAATGATCACAGGATCTTCTCCTTCCCAGAGGCTAGTGAAGCTTAAAAGAAAAAAAAAAACGCACTCGCGATGAAATGTTCTCCGAGCTCATGCTGTCCTCCCACACTGACAGAGCACAGACGAATGCATGGAGGCAAATAATGTCAGAGTGCAGGAAAGCACAAAATGACCGGGAGGAGAGGTGGTGGGCTGAAGAGAGTAAGTGGCGGGCTGAAGACAGGGCTGAAGCTCAAATGTGGCGGCAGCGTGATGAGAGGAGGCAGGATTCAATGCTGAGGCTGCTGCAGGACCAAACCAGTATGCTCCAGTGTATGGTTGAGCTGCAGCAAAGGCAGCTGGAGCACAGACTGCCACTGCTGCCCCTCTGTAACCAACCGCCCTCCTCCCCAAGTTCCATAGCCTCCACACCCAGACGCCCAAGAACGCGGTGGGGGGGCCTCCGGCCAACCAGCCACTCCACCACAGAGGATTGCCCAAAAAAAAAAGAAGGCTGTCATTC